GTGAAAACATCCGATTATTGAGGCATATCTCTATGTACTTTTTGTTTTACTTCAAATCGGGATAACATCTGATCATTGTTGTCGTTGATTTAGGCAATAGCTGAACCATAAAAATTATTTTGTTTTGTGTGATTATTTTTTTTATATTTTTATTTGAATGTGAGTGTCAATATCAATCTAAATTCTATTCTTGAGATAATTTTGGCAAGAGGATAGACCCCAATTATATAAGAAATGTCTTTTCTCTTTCTTAATCATAAAGGAAGGACTTGATGATTAAAATAAGACTCGAAATCTTAGTCTTAGAACTCGCTTTCTCTCTCTCAATCTTGAAAACTTGAAAGTGGTCCAAAGTATAGAATATATTATCCAACTTAGGGTTGCCACCAAACATCCACGTAGGATGGTCACCGACTGTCTTGCCTCATATTTATTTTTTATTTTTTATTTTTGAGCCGAGTTAGAGAATTTTTTTTTTTTTTAACACTGAGTTAGAGAATTGAATAGGCCATATTCTATCAAATTGACAGAGAAGCTGGTTGACAAAGTCAGTTTTCCTGGCAGTGGCCGAATTGTATCGTTGGACATTGGGGCTGACTGTTGTTTGACTGTAGACAATGCTTAACTGTCATTGCACGTTGGCTTGTTCTTCTCTGTCTAACACAACGTACTCTGTCCTCAGGCTTAGGGTTGGTTTGGTTAGCAAACAAAACACAAGACAGAAAAAATAAATAAATAAATAGAAGGGAGAAATTAAAGGAAAGTGAGATCTTGGGATCCACTAGATCTTCTTGTATATGATACTTTTGGTTTCTTGGGTAATTTGTTTTTTCCAGTTAAAATATGGGTTACTGTTCATATTTGACCCTTTTGCATATAGTCATCCCTTATCATTTCCTATATATGGATATCAAATTGAACAACAGCACTAACAAAGGAACTAAAAAACAAAAAGCTCTCAAGAAAGTTAAACTTGATTTAATATAATTAAAGATAATTTAATTGTAATATATTTTTTTATTTAGATTGATTTAATATAATTAAGGTAATTTTAAAAATTAAAATATTTTTATTACTTTTTTCTTTTAAAGAATAGAATGAATTTTTTTTTAAAAATTCTTACAAGTTGTTTGTGCTAACCAAATACGTGCATGAAAATATATTTGCTCTCATTTTCTTTTCTTTCACTTCACTTTTTAAATTTTAACACCTTTATTTGAAGAGATAAAAATGGTGACATGTCAACCATACATTAGTTCTACATTAATAATATTTGATATTTATTTATTTTATCATAAAAAATGGATAAATGCACTGTCTTTCAAATTCAACATCTTCTTCAATATGTATAAGGATATTTAGATAATGCTCAAAAAATTTTAGCAACTTTACTATCTTTCAAACAATATAATGAATTTTTTAACAATTTTCTTTCAAAATTTTTATGCTAATCAAACACGTGAAAGAAAAAATATATTTTTTTCTTTCTTTTTTATTTCACTTCACTTTCTAGTACTTTCATTTCCCACCATTCTTTTTTTTCTAAATAAACGACCCTTATGCTCCATTTGGTAAAAAGAATAAAAAGTAGGAGAGATGAAAAATATGAATGATACACTTTCTATCCTCCAAAGAAAGAAAGTAGGAATGATACACTTTCATTCCTCTGTGTTTGGTAGGATGGATAAAAAGTAGAAATAATTAATTTTTTTGTGTTTGGTATTAGTGAAAAAAATAGAAGAATGAAAAAATATAAATACATAATATATAATTGATAAATTTGATATATGTATATTTCAAATGATATATAAACAAATAACATATATTTTAACACACATAATTAACTTTTTATTCACTTTTCTCGAAATTTTAGAGGGATTGATTTTAATGAGTTGAAAGGAAATTAATTCTTCCACTTTTCTATCCTTCCTATTTTCTTTCTTTACCAAACATGATGTTTTATCTATTTCTTTAATTTTTTATTTTTCTAATTTTTTATCTTTTTATTTTTTCATGGTACGCCAGGGACAAAGAACAAGGTTGTCATATAAAGAAAAGGTAGAGAAAGTAAAGGAGAGTTGGAAAACATAATAATGACAATTGAAGACTTTCTCACTAAATAATAGCGCACTTTTCAATTCTTAGCAGGAGAAGACCTTTCTTCCATAATTTGTATTTGTTAGGATATGTTTGATGTAGATAAAAAAAAATAGAACTAGAAAATAAATATGCATCTTTTTATCATAATATCATTGTATCAACCGTTATATTACTCAATTTTATTTTATTTTTTACAGTGAATCTGTTGGCATCGCTTTTTTGATATGAGTTAATTTACTTATGTTTTTACAAATAATGTTAAGTTTTTTTTGAAACTACTATTACAGACATTTATGCTCAATTTTTGTTAATGTAATAATTTTCACTTTAATCGCAATTCTAAAAATACAAAGCAGTAAAATTTTCATCGTAAAACTCTTCTTCATTAAGAATATATAAGGTTTAAAGCCCTCTATTGCATCCCATAATGACAATTATAAAGAAGTATTGATTTGTTTTTGTTCTCCATTGAGATTTGTTGTTTTTGTTTTTCTTTGGGAAAAAGACGTATTGATTCATGTTTGAATGTGGTGTTGTGTCTGTACTTGTTTTGTCCAAAATATAAATAAAGGTCAACTCTTTTGAATAAAACAAAACATTACCCAAGTATTAGTAGACAGTCTGTACGTGTATGGTACGGATTATGACATAAAAAAATAGGGCCAGCCAGAGTTCAAAATAATACACTGAACCTAGATCTCGCTGACACCCCCTTTGTGAGGAGGACAGTTCAATAATATTTGCAACGTTTCCAATGTACAAAATAAATAATGTTATAAAATTTAAATAAAATTCTAAAATTATAATTTAAACGTATATCATTCTTTTGACATGTGGATCTCATTAATTTTTTCAGTGAGATCTATTCATCTATTAATCATCTAATAAATGATATACATTTGAGTTTTAACTTTTGAGTTTCATGGGTTATGTAGCATTTTTCAAAAAAAAAAATTCTACTGCCTTGAGTTTTTCTCCTATCATATAGCCCTTTCTCTGGATTTTCCTATCAGTAGTTGGATTATTATTTTCAAATGTTGTGCTTCCAACAATTACGTACGTAGTTTTTTTTCTATATTTTTATTTTTATATATCAGAATAAGATGCTGCTGAACTTAATGTATTTGAAGTATTTTTAGTTTTACCTTGAATTGACATTACATATATCCAAGTTATTTAGACTGCATTATACTGAAATCATTGAATTCTTTCCATCTCCACGATCAATAAGGTTATCCTAGAGAGACAAAGAATAAAAAAAATAATAAAAAATTGGTACCACACTGAAAATTATATGGGTTAATCTCATTTTGCACTCTAAAAGATTATTCAAATCTCAATTTGCACCCCCAAAGATCAAAAATTTTAATTTACACTCTCAAAGATAGAAATTTGTATCAATGTGAATCCCCAAAGATAAAAAATCTCAATTTGCACCCTCCAAGATAGAAATTTGTATCAATGTGCACCTAAAATTAAATTAATAAATTATACATAGATCCCCTCATGTTTGTCACTTAATCATTTGAACTCTTTTACATTTAGAATATTCCCCTTACATCTCATGACGTTTGTGCATGTGTAACACATAACCATTTTTCGTTGATATCTGTTAATATAATCGTTAAAAAATATAATTTTATCCTAATAAAAAATTATAATTTCATATTACCTTTTATTTTGTGGATTCGATATACTCTAAAGTTGAAAATCAAGCTTACCATTTGAATGTCTAATAAAATGTAGATATTTATATAAAAGGTAATATGAAAAACATTATATAAATATTTACATTTTATTAGACATTCAAATAGTAAACTAGATTTTGAACTTTAGAATATATTGAACCATAAAATAAAGGGTAATGTGAAATTATAATTTTTTATTAGGATAAAATTATATTTTTTAACGGTTATATAAATAGATATCAATGAAAATGGGTTACGTGTTATATGTGCACAAATGTCATAAGATGTAGGAGTAATATTTTAAATGTGAAGAGGTCTAAATGATTAAATGACAAGTATGAGGGGATTTAGGTATAATTTATCAATTTAGTTTTAGGTGCACATTGATACAAATTTCTATCTTTGAGGGTGTAAATTGAGATTTTTTATCTTTGGAGTGCACATTGATATAAATTTCTATCTTTGAGGGTGTAAATTGAGATTTTTAATCTTTGGGGGTGCACATTGATACAAATTTCTATTTTTGAGGGTATAAATTGAGATTTTTAATATTTGAGGGTGTAAATTGAGATTCGAACAATCTTTCGAAATGCAAAATGAGATTAACCCAAATTATAATCTTTGATTTGGTGAAATTATAACTTGGGTATCTCAAGGCCTTAGTTACCCGTGTTTTAGCATCATATCCAGCTAATGGAATCTTTTCTCTTGTCAAACTTGACTGATGCCAAAAGAGAAAGAAACAAAAAAAACTTGAATGTCATGAATCTCGAACTGTGAGCATTTTACTTAGAAAAGGTCTTGTTGGTCGAAAACTGCTAGTTGGTGGGTTCAAGCAGGTATAAATATGGGTTTGACGGCTCAAGGAAATCATTCCTTCCCCTCTCATTCTCAAGTTACAAATCTCTCTTGTCATTTCCGTTTTACCATCCTTTGGAAATACACACAGACTCTCAGTGCAGATCAGAAGTTCCCTCTCTATCTCTCAGGTCTGAACTCTCTCTCTCTCTCTCTGACAGTTTTTGTTTCTCTCTGATAAAAATTATAGTATATTTTCTAGCTCTAGCCTTTTCTCTCCTACACAAACAGAACGGAATTGAACTCTTCTTCTCTCTGACAAACTGATCACATCCTCATTCTCTAATCTCCTATTCAATAACACGATACATTTATACTGATTCATCTTTTTTTTTTCTTCAGGGTTTGGAAAAAATGGTATCCATATTTCCATGCTTTAAAAAAACACTCACCAGGACCGATGTTGAGCGCAACTTGGAAATTCCAAACAGGACACCGTTTTTGCCAGACGGAAATGGGCTCATGCTTGTGCGTGACCGATTCGGAGTCACGTATCAATTCATAGCATCAGAAAGAAGAGGAGGGAGGCGTTCTCTTACTAACGACTGGCACGCTTTTGCAGTATCAAAGAGTCTTCAAGTCGGCGATCCTCTGAGGATTTGTCGGTTGGAGAATGGGAATGAATATGTGGTGCAGGTGGGAATCGAACTCTTTGGACCTCACTTAGTTTGGGAAACACTGTAAGTTCCACATTGTATGATTATTCTGTGATTGGGTTGTTCATTGATATCAAAAATAAGCACGAGCCGACGAGGACGAACTGCATGAAAACAATTTGGGTGTTATGTATGTCTAAGTTTTAATGTCGAAGTCCTCAGAGACTTGTTAGTCGTTGTTGTTGTTCTTGTCATCGTTGTGTTGTTGTTGTTGTTGTTCTTGTCATCGTTGTGTTGTTGTTGTATGTGTTTCTTTGGAAAATAATAAATCCAATGCATGTATAGATTCAAGATTCAATTTCGTTGTGTACACGTTTTAGTTGAAGACTCTTTCTGTGTGTAATGTTACCGGTTGAGTGAAATGGAAATATATCAAGTATAGGACAAAGGCCTATGTGCAGAGAAAGAATGTCTGCAATTACTCACCCTACGTCCTTCCACAGTCTTTAAAATAAAAATGTTCAATTCATAGCAAAGTCCGGCAATATAAATTACTAGAATTGACTTTATATATTGCATATCTACATTTGGATCAGCTATAAACATTCACGTGAAGAACACTGATTGTCAGTTTCCTATACTTTCCTTGAGCCACATATTTTATGATTTATTCAAGAAATAAAAGCAAACAATAATTAATAACAGCATATAAGTTTTCCAATATCAATTCTGGATTCGAAATCTTGATTAAATTCATGAATAATCCCGACGCATCTGACTTATCTCCGTCTTCCAATTCTGCCACCTTTTCCAGTGAAAGAACCTATCCTGTTAAGATCCCCAACAATGTTTCAATTGTCGGTATTAAATAAGGTTTTGGAGGTAGTATAATACATCACTCCAAGTTTTTGTCAGACTAGAAAGGTCCACAGTCCTGGTCTTTGACTCGAGTACGGGCGAATCTAGCATGGGAGCTGCCCCACTGGAATTTTAAAAAACCTTGGGGTCTATTTGAAAATTTGAGAAAAACTGGCGTAGGTTTGCATTTTAAAAAAGTGATTGGGATTCTATTACAGATTTAACAATTATACATGAACTTGTCGTGAAACTATTTCTTTAAAAGTAATACTATTTGAATTTAAAAATTTTATTTCATCTACTAACGTGATTTATTATGATCTTTGAATTAATTGTGACTCCTATTAAACATTAAAACTTGCTCTTTATCTAAAGATTTCAATGAAGTCACATTATCAGGTCAATAAATTATGTTAAATTTTTAAGTCAAAATAACACGAAATCACTTGCAGTTGTTGGATCAATGGGTTCCATCAACGATCCAACGACTGAAATTAATTTGGTGTACATAGAATTATCCTTTCTAATTTCATCTTCTTTTTGCAACTAGAGGTAGCATTCGACTCATGTGGTGAAACATTGAATTTGTGTTAAGTATTAATCAATCCTAAAGTAACCAATGTAATTAAGCATGTTAGGTATCTTAACACTAATCCAACCTATTTATTGATTATATCGTGCACTAGAAACATTTTCTTCACAACCAAACTTACTTGTGATCAATGTTTTAAAACCCAGCCCGGCTCAGCTTGACGGGTTAACCCGATGAACTGGTACCTAAACCGAGCCGTTCAACAATCAGACCGTTTGTGCATCAAACATGGAATAAACTTACTGAACAGGATAAAAAACTGCTGAAACGTTCAACCTGGGCGAGTTAAATCAAATCGAACGATTCATTTAGTTTAGTATAAATAGCTGAGTTTTGCCCTTATTTGTCATTTTGCCCTAAATCGTCTTTGCCTTTGCCTCATTAACGACAGTCATCTTCAACGTGAGTTCCCAACTTTGCCTCCTGGAGTCCTCTGCGCATAGTGAAGAGTACAAGGTTTAAGAGATTTCTTGACAGGTTTGATCAACTTGGAGGTCTCTTCAATGGAGAATCAGGGTTTGGTTTTGTGATGAAAACGACATCGATTCAGTTGGGTTTCTCGTCTTCTTCTTCGAGCTTCTAACACGAAGACCTCTATTTTTGCTCTGCTACTTTATTTTGTATCACCTCTCTCTCTGTAAGCTCTCTCTACCCCTCTAAAATTTTCTGCAATCAAGGAGTACAATTGGTGGTCGAGATTACCTTTACTTCAGTATTGTGTTTTCAGTAGGTAATTGTTGTTACATTTACTCATTTATTGTGTTCATAATTTTATCTCATTCTCTTTGTTTGATTTTTTTTTTCATCTGTGCCTCTGCCTCCTAGAGTCCTCTACATTTCAACAGGTAATTGTGTTTCAGCAAGTAATTGTTGAATGTATTGGATACAAGTTTGATGATTTTTCTCTACTTGACTTTATATAGTTTATATGTTTGATGATATTTTCATAATTATTGTGATTTTTTAATCTATTTATTAGTATTTATAATTATTTTTTATTTTTTTATTATATTTACCGGTCCGACCAATGACCTAACGGTTGAACCAGTGACCCATTGATCTGGTCTTTTTACCGGGTTGATGTCCGAGCTGGTTTTAAAACTATGCTTGTGATAGATTCTTAATACAAATAGGCTTGTGATAGATTCAATTTTTTCCTATTAAATTTTGTCATAATTATTTTGAATATATATGGTCCTTATAATTTGTTTGTTAAAAACATTTTTTTTTAAATGGAAGTTTGTTAAAAACTAAATGTTGAAATATTGAGTTTGAGTCAACCTAAACAAATCAATTGTTAAATGAATTGTCGATAAATTCGTTATTAAAAAACCAATATTAGAACAAATATTTTTAACATTATCGTTTTATATTGTTACTAAGTTTTAATTTGCCTCCATAGCAAAAAATTCCTAGCTCCATCCTGACCCCATTATTTCTTTCTTTTTGGCTAATTAATTTTAAATAGTGTCAGAGGATTTTTGTCATATGAGTTCATTACTAGGAGAAATGAGGAAAATTTTCGACCACTTTTAATGTTAAGCTTACTTGGTATATTGGAAGTTCTGTCTAGTCATGGGTAATACTTAACGAAGTTGTTGCTGTACTTATTAAAAAAAATTATCACGAAGTTTATCAAATCAATGTGAATGATTAGGTTAATAATACATATTAATTTTCTTTTATGATACCCACCCACAAATCCAAATATTTAATATATATTGTGGGACTGAGGTCTAAGCAAGTGGGGCGCCGCCCACTATAGCAAACCCCATCTACTCATATAAACTAAGCAGTTCCCTACATTCCAACCAAAATATATGATATTTATATTTCTCATTGTGGGATAAGATGGTCAGACCTCCACTAAATAAAGTAGCAGTGGCCGCCCTCATACACAACTATAAGGCGTCGCCCAGCGAAGACCAAGGGGCCTGCCCAGCGTCGCCCAAGGGGCTTCCCAGCCTCCTGATGTGGTCCAAGGCATCCTGCCAGCCTCCAACATCGCCAGTAGTGCCTCAGGGCGTCGCCCAGCTAGCTGTCCCGCCATTGGCATCACTTGCACCTGGAGCCACCACACCTCTTGTCTTGGCGCCCAACTTGACTTAGGACCCAGAGTCCTATTAAAACTCCACTCCGAGTATCAAGTGAATATTAATAATAAACAAAGCCTTAGTGAGCATATCCCTTCCTGTAAGTCAGGACTCAACGTTCAGCGTAGTACAATTCTATCTCGAATATTTAGGAGATTAGTGATGAGGTCTATTCTATCACAATCTAGAGTTTGATTCTATTTGGAACACGACTTCTAATGTCGCTATAAATAAAAGTTATGGGTACCAGGTATGCAACGAAATTTGGGCCCATTCACCGTATACTTTTTCTTCGACTAGCTTACTGACTTAAGTATCGGAGTTCCTTTGACTGCCTCCGGCCAACTGTCCACATAGACGTTCTCTTGTCTTGCAGGTTCACTAAGGCTTCTCTGCCACCTTCCCTGCTTGTACGAGGGGGTTACTTTCAGCCTGGTATATATATATATATTTGAACACAACTTTTTATATTCATTCGGTAAATTTTTGGAGTAAGCACATCATTGCCATTGTTTAAGCAGCCTTCCATTCTCTGATGTGCATTGGTGCCGATGGAAACTTGGAAAATTCTGAAACCATTGTTATTCGGTCTATTGAAACAGATATTTTGAGTGTAACTGAGTCTGCTACACAATAGGAGGATGATCCTGATTCTCATAAACTCAGCTGTCATATCTTTTTGAATGTTGAGTTGTAAATTTATTCAAATTGTATCAACTGAGATATTGTAGGACAGTTAGACTTTAATTACTATAAATTGTACATGCTGTGGATATTCAAAAATATAAAAAAAACTGAGAGTTCAGATTCAAAACTCTACTGCAACTTTATATGGTATCAGAGCCTAACCTTGACAACCATCCAAAATGTCTTCTCCTAACTCTTCAACCTCTTCTGACAATATCACCTCCACACTTCTAGTCTTCAATCCCTCTTCCAACATCAATGTCTCCAAATTGAACAGAAATAATTACTCGAATATTGAAGGCACTATAACAAAAATTATTTTTTACGACAATTTTTTTCATCGCTAAATTAAAAAAAATGGCGACGTTTTTTTTTTATCGCATGTTCGTCGCAATAACCTTGTCGCAGAAAGTATTTTGTGACACAAATTTATTTTCATCGCAAAAAACAAATTTTGCAACGAAAAGAAAATGTCGTTAAAATTAAAAAAAGTAGCTAAAATCTATTCCACCAGCAAAAAAAATTAAAAATAATAACTTAATTAATTTTTCGTGACAAAAAAATTGTCGCAAATACTTTTTTCATAATTAAAAAAGTTAAAAATAATAATTTAATTAATTTTTTGAGACGTAATTTAAATAATTTTTCGCCATGTAAAAAAATTGTCGCAAATAATTTTTTACATAAATAAAAAATGTTAAAAATAAGAAATTAATTAATTTTTCGTGACGTAAAAAAATCGTTGCCAATTATATTTTACATAAATAAAAAATGTTAAAAATAATAATTTAATTAATTTTTTGCGACGTAAAAAAAATTGTCCCGAATAATTTTTTATATAAATAAAAAATATAAAAAATAATAATTTAATTAATTTTTAACAACGTAAAAAAATCATCGCAAATAATTTTTTCATAAATAAAAAATATAAAAAATAATTGAATAAATACATTTACCACGTATAAAAACCGTCACGAAAAATGTTGTTCCTGCAACTTTTCTCGACGATTTTTATTTCGTGGCAAAAAAGTTCATTTTTTTTTATTTTACGTAAAAAATGATATTCAAATAAAATTTCTCACCAGTACACCAATAATACCTGTGTTCAATAAAAAACTAACACAATTAATACATTTCACATCTTTTTTTTAAAAAACAAAATTTTATTTCTAGAAAGAATGAATTACAAGAATCAAAGAATAAAAAATTCTAAAAATAGAAAAAATAGTTTTAATCCTTCAAGAGGATTTAAATCATTTCTAATTATATTTAATGTCTCTTAAACTTGAACAACTCCAACAGTCCAATTCCATGCCTTGAAATACCATCTCCAAACTCAACACTATCCAAGATTTACATAATCAAACTGACTACCACACACAACCTTCCTGCTAGCAATAGGGATCATGAATTAATCCTGATGCAAAACCAACCTTCCATCCAGTGGCAGAATACCACTTTCTGAAAAATTAGCGATAATAGAATAAGAGTATTGAAAGAGAGAGACAGCATTTACAATGAAAACAAGTGTGGACAAACTAAGAGAAAATCAGTGTAGTGGCCTTTGCGGTGCTAGCCAGTATTACAATTTCAGAACTGAGCAACTTACCTCAAGAGCCTTTTCAGCATTTGTTTCTGTGATTCTCCCTACTGCTGCATTTGTAGTCAATATCATTAGGATGACCTATTAACCAACAATAAGTCTCTTCAGGAATCTCCCCAGAAAAAATCATTGTAACAAAGATCAACTTTAACAAGTAAATGTCACTATATCAACTACGACGCCAAGGGAGAGAGAACCATAACAAGGTCATATTGTATGATCAATCACAATGCATACAATAAGCTCGAATTTTTATAGAAACGACACGTGTAATAAATATTAAGCAGCATGTACACAATCAAGAAGTGGATATCAATTTTCCATGTAGAAAGTTATTGCATCTTACAGAAGGCTCCCAAAAGGCCTTTAATCCAGTCTCTTCATCAACCAATGCCAAAAGGAAAGAAACAACAGCAGCTGCAATCAAAATCTTAACCAGCAAATCATCAAATTGCTTCAGAACCAATTTCCAGAAAGGAGGGCCTGCATTCATTTAAACATGGGTAAATCAAGAACGGAGTTGCACAAAATTAAATAAGCGTGTGATTTTTAATTTCTTTATCCTTCACCATATCATCTACAGCTCTGTGCATGAGTTGTACTAATAGAACATATGGGTAGCTAGAAGTAAACAGTTTTGATTCAATTTGAGGCAATGGGAACCACTTAAACAATGAACATTTGGACTTACTAAAGATAGGTCAAAATCAACTGCAAAGGCCGAAAATAAAAGTTCATTGCGTTTAGCGATAATAATTAATACAAATGAGGAGGCAATATTTTGAAGAGTTCCGGATATTCCAAGTACCTGGGCCATATATAAGATACAATGCATGTACAAGTTGATGCAGTAAAACCAAGAGGGCTTCACTTTTGTATTGATGAACTTGAAAATCTAAAAGAAGGCAGATAAACTATGCAGGAATGCAAAGAAGATGCCAAAAGAAACTCAAACAATAAGAATCAGAAGTCAAGAAATTATTAAAGGATTCCCAAAAAACATGCAGGCATAAAAGAACATCTTTATTTCCTATATTTAGAAATTCCATATTTATGTAACTTATAGAATGCAGACATCAATCAAATGCCAACTCACCTTCTCATTCAAAAGTTTTCTTTCGGTAGACGTAACTTCAAGTTTTCCATTGTGCTCAATCAATTGTTTTTCCCAAGGTTCTAGTTCAGCACGAACCTTGGCTAGCTCACCACGGAACATCTCGGTTTCAACTGTTTCTCAACCGAATAAAAAAAAGGGTCAAAATTAAACACTTTCTCCTAAGAGAGCAAACATATTTATCACACCCTTAATCCAGCAGTATGTGAAATGAAATTCATGTCTCATTTGAATCCTACAGTGGAACCCAAAGTAAGATACATGCATTAGTTTCAATACAAGTGAAGACCAATTGTTCCCATACCTTCTCAACTTTCTCATCGAGTTTCTTTGATCTTTTGCTTCATGTGCTTTAAATCTTCACGGTATTTAACATCCTGTCTTTCAAACTCGTTGAATTCATCCTTGCAACGCCCAAGTCCACTATCAAGTTCCTAGATTTGAAAACAAAAGTAAAGAAATATGTTTCACTATTGAGTTTGATCTTGAGCCAACTAGCATTAGCATGTACACAAAGGTTTCTAAGACAAGGCATGCATATCTTAAAACCAAAAATTTACTCGTACAAAAATTTACTGCAGCCAGCTTGTTGGACAGCAGTACATCCAGTAGAGCACTCAACGAATACCTAAGAAACAAGAAAGTTTGTCATCTACAAAATAACCTGGGAAGATTATCCAATTCTTTCATCCGCTCTTACAATTTAATATATTTAAATCCAATTAGTGAGTGTATCATAAAAATTTAGACAACCCGAAAAACTGGCCTCCACGGCCTCAAAGCAGATGCTATAATGGCATCCTAAAAGGACTCATATTTCAACAAGGAGGTTCTCCATCCAAGCCAGCATTCCCTGCATTAACCACAACATCTGCCATCCATTTAATTTTATTTCTATAGCTCGAATTTTCTATCCAGTAACCTTCAGTGAACCATTATTTTCTTTTCTTACCTACCTGATAATGTCAATGGTCTCCTCATTTTTTTTAGTCACTACAATAACATCCAACTTTATGCTTGTCATGGCATTCGGCAGCTCTAGGCAGGGTAAAAATAATTAGCAAACGTAGAAGTTTCCACCTAATCAAAATAACTTTAACAACGTTGCAGAGTTTGATCTAGTGGGGCTCTTATACTACAGTTAAGAAAGGTGACTGGTTTGTTCTCCTTGACAATAGTATGCCCTGGGAACATGCAGGGCATCAAACAGGCATCAATACATAATGCACAAAACGACTTAACTCGAACAGCTCTAGTTTCAAATATTTTCAAAATTCTAAATAATTAAATACGAACACAGAACTGAGATCAAAGTATGAGTTCGAAAAGGAAAGCACAGGTATCATTGGAAATAACAATCAAGAAAAATGGGGATGTTACTCATAACATGTTATTCGATTTTCAAATTTATTTTTATTTTTTAGACAGTTAATAAGATTTGGACCAATGCCATCCATCCCATGGTAACGACAATACCACCAGCCCAAGACAACTGTGGTGCTTATGACTGCTTCAGATTCATCAACACCACACTTCACATCCTGGACATTTTCATTAACACCACATGTCAAAAGGAATTGTGCTTGTCTACATTCTCATTAACACGCTAATAATCTTTTCTAGATTGGTTCAATGATGTGTTTTCAACAATGCAGGTACAATAAGGATTGGAAAAATAGCTGGGTGTTTGTTCAATATTCTCCAAACAAAATAACTTCTTGCTTTTAGTACACATTGGTAAACAATTGACTGATGAGAGCAGATGGAGACAGTGAAAAGGGAATTTGAAGTCAAGGGAATCGCATATAAAATTTTGCCCAATTCCGGACTCACAGGCTTGACATCCTATTGGGAATGAAAACTAGGTCTATTACCCACAAAATGATGACAATAGAACTAATCCAAATTGTTTACGACAACAAAGACCTCAGGAAGGATCAAGTTAGAGAGCCAGGGAAATAACTACGGGAGAGCATTCATACATTTGCCCAGGTAAAGGGATGCATCTCATCAATTTAATGGGTCAGGGCTGTCAGGCACCACCAAAACGAATATGTAGTAGCGTCGCCAAAACGTAAAAACCTATTTGCATTTACCATATGTGCATGCTATATATTATATTATTTTATTAGAGAAAACTAAGTTTGTTGACATCAGCTTAATCCTGTTAAATAATTAGTGAAAAGCTGGTAATAGCTGTCAACTGCTATGAAGCGCAAACACTCCTAAGAAGGTGACGTATCCGTGTCGGTCACGTGTCAGATACCTATACTCTTCGGACACATGTTTAATACTCTTTTATCCATATCTATAATTAAATGAAAATATTTTAATTTTAGACACATGTCCAACACTTCTTTGATGATGTGTTTGACATTTTTTTAGACCGTGTCTACTACTAAACAATAAACATTTGTTCACATGTGATTAAAAAAGCTTAAAATTTGACTAATAAGTATCTTATACTATGAGAGAACATACAAATAGCAAAATTAAACATATTAAAGTTGTCCTCAAAATTTGATAACACAATCACCAGATAAAGAAAAGATTTAGAATAAAAGCAATTGAGAATATGAGAGCAATCATTTAAATTATATATGTTTAGTATACGTCTATGAAAAAATTAATGATTATTAACAATTATGAAGTCTAAAAATTCAATCTATATGGCTACATATAACATTTATTATCATAAATTTTTTTTTTTTTTATGAATAATATATCATTATCACTATAGTTGTGATAAATTATATATAATTTTAGATATAAAATACAATTATCTGTAGCATGTCCCCAACATATTCGTGTCCAACTTTTTTGAGAAATGTCGTGTCCATGTCCCGTGTCCATGTTCATGCTTCTTAGGTCAACAAAAGATTAAGATCATCAACAAAAACTAAAAATAAATACAAACCAATGACTTGCAATCTCATTATAAGTACAAACCAATGACTTGTGAGCATGGATACAACATGCAAACATCCCAATGAGGTTTACTTGAGGCATTGTATTCTCCGAATAATATTATTGAAGTCACTCAGGCTAAAACAATCCTCTGACTATCTCAAATTCGTTTACAGCATGAAACAAGAAGGTGAAAAGATAACTCCTATGCTTCCTAGAGAACATACTACCTATGGAGAGTGCACCATAATTCTGCATGAGAAAGACATCAAGAACACAATTGCATATCTCATCATGTCAAGAGTTCATTTACTGCCTTATTAAACAGATTGAGCTAAGCTTAATCTCAAGAAAAAAAATAATTAAAATGGAAGATAATTCAACTCACCCTGCCATTGTTAAATTGACCAAGAAAGCACATTAGATCCTATTTGGCGTCAACCTTCGTATCATCAGAATCCGAGTCACTGGCATTGTATCCTAAAGGAAAATAAAAATTACTATTATCTGCAATCTAACAACGAATAGAACCACCATTACAGCTGCATAGAGTCAAAGAGAGACACTAAGAACCTGGATGTTTATCGCTGCTTTCCATACTGAGGACCGACTCTTCGAAGCTCTACTAATCCAAGCTCGTCCCTGACTTTCCAAAGCAATCAAAATCACACTATTTTCACAATATATACAAAAGCAAATTAAGACAAATTGCCCACGAATAGAAAAGAAAAAACTTCAAATACCCACCAAACTCCTAAGAAACCCAATAATATCAATAACCAAATTCATCATAAAATTCAAATTTTATCACTAACTCAAAAAATTGGAATCTAAGACAAAAAGGAACTAGACAGAACCCAAAATCTATATCAAAACCACAACAAACATAAGAGCCCAATAATTTCAAGAAATCAAATTAGCAAAAAAAATCAAAATTTTCTGAGACAGATGAACACATATTGTAAATCAATTGCCCCTAATGTGCGAAACCCCCCATAAAAATCAATACCCAATGAAATTAACCAAAAATAGAAATTGATGAAAAGTAATAGAGACCTTCTGGGCATCTCTAGGGACACCGTAGCCACTATGATACATCTGACCCACCAAGACCTGCATGGCGCTATCCCCGGCTTTGAGTGTGTCCTGAAACCACCGCTTCACGCAGTCCGAAACCACCTCAGAAAGTAGCAATCGGGTCTCTTTTGGCTGCTCTGAATTCCCTTCCATCTTCTTCTTCAACCTCAATCGTTGAAGAAGAAGGAAATTAAGGAAGGAATTAGAAAATCAATAGCCAAACAGGGGTCTTCCCCTTCACAAACTAAATGTTGATAGAATTAGGGAAAATCAACAGAATGACAACCTTCCCCTTCACAAACTAAACCGACGACAATCAATGGCACCAATCAACAGATCCAACGATTCCAGATCCCAAAAACATGACTATTGAACCAAAAACATTACAACCCAAACCAGATCCAACGAGGAACCTTAATTTTCTAAATTAAGAAAAAAACAAAACTAAGACAGAACAATAAAATAAGAGCAATGTAATAGAAACTTAAATCAAAAATTTAATTTATGTAATAATTGGATTATTTGTGTATTTTTAATATCATGTGGAACTCACTTTTAATCTAATGTTTGTATTGAATTAAACCCTTAAATTAGGTCTAAATTATATTTTTCTATAATATTAAAACATTAGTCACTTAATTGGCATTTGCTTGGCTAAAACAATTTATAATTGACAATAATTCTTTATCCAGGATACTAAATGACGGGGTGGAGAATGATTAGAGAGGATTGTAAATTCTGTGCACCCATTATTATAAGCTTGGTAATAATTCATTATTCTTTGTTTTTTTGCATATTGAAAAGTTTATTATTTTAAACTTTCGTAGATGTGCATACTTCCATCGTCGTACATGCTTACATTGGTGTCTGTGCACCCATTATTATAAGCTTGGTAAAGGTCCAAACTTTCATTATCTCAATGGATTTACTTATCCATGATTTATGGATAAAAAAAATTTATGGCATCTAAAAGTTGAATGAAGTCAGCAAACTCATGGCTTCTAAAAGTTGAATGAAGTCAGCAAACTCATGGCATCTACGTCATCTCCTCAAATCGATAGACTTTTAATATCAAAACTGCTAACTGCAAAAATTTACCACATCCTCACCATACACCTTGGGCAGATACTTCTCATAAATAAACTAAAACAAGGTCTTTTTTTTATTTTGCTTTGGTCATCCACCAGATATCCATACGAGGAATACATTTTTTTTTTTTAAACCAAGCTCTACAACCGTGATTAATTTTAGTTTAGTACTGTAATCATATTTTATAGTGTAATAATAAAAAATAAAAGAATGAACCTCAGAAAATAATAACTCAAACCCAGTCAACAACGTTGTGGTGATTTTATTGGTTTTAGCTGGTCAAGAGGTCAATCTTCAGAGAATAAAATAGCGTAAAATATGAGTGGTTCATTTTAACTGAAGAACTAAGATTATATTCACTGTAATAAAATCTTTTACTCATTGACATCATATATTACTCAACCTTTTGTGAATACAATGGTCTTGCAAATATTGGGGCCTTACATGAAATATGTTCTCTATTCTTATCTGCTATATTTTGGACTCAAGAGTGTAATGGGGATCCTCTCCTTTTTGCTAGGTATCAGTGTCGTATTTATATAGTGATTCTTCTAGGGTTTTCTGTTGCGCCTTCTTTCTTCTTGTTGATTTTGTGGGTCCTCCCGCCTATGTTCTGTAACAACCTCTGTCATTTGGCGTCACTGTTCCCATGATCTTGGATAATTATGTGCGCCAACACCCTTTATTCCAGGGAATATGTGATTGTCATAGGTGTCAAAAGTAGTCTCTACGTTCCCAAGACACGTGGTGCAACAGGAGTGATTCGGGATAGATATTGGGTTAAGCTTTTTTATGACATAATCAATCATGTACTTCCAGCATCTTTAACTTTTGATAAGTACGTCCCATATTCTATACTCTTTTGCATCACTTGTTGAGACAACAAACTTATTTGGATCGCTCCATTGCTTTTGATTGGCCAAAAACAAGATCATGCCTCTCTCTTTTTTCACCTTTGTTTGACAAATCTCAAGCTAGTATATTAAGTAAGAAGCCTTCAAACAAAGTAAAATGATTAAAGTTTGGACTTAATTCGCCTTCAAAGCTTATAATAATTAGTGCATAGGATTAACAATCCTCTCTATTCTCCAACCATTTTTCACCTCTTGTCGTGGTGTAGTAGAAGGAAAAAAAAATAATATACTATGAAAAAAAATAAAATTTCGATTTAGTCATTTAAAAAAAAATACAAATTCGGTTCAGTAACCAACATGTCAAAGTCATGCCGACATAATCATTTGGCCCAAAAAGCGTTCACATATGCATAAGTTTTGAGACAAAATGATCCACTATTATTTTTCTATTTGACTTTTCATTTGGAGATAAGATTCTTTACCATTTACAACCACCGATTTAATTATGCTTTATTAGTTTGAGATACTAAAGTTGGGTTCTATAGCATTCCTCTTGTTTCTTATCAGATTTTATATTCCAAGTGTATGACATAATTTTTATAATATTAATGCGACATATTTATTTAATGGTAAAAATTATGATACATTATTTAAAATAAAAAATTTAATAAGAAATTATGATCAATATAACATCCTTTTTTTAGTTCAATCTTTTGTTGACTTGTCGGTTGGTGAATGGTAGATAGTAAACCTCAATCGTAAAGAATTTTATCTCTTCCCGTTATTAGGACAAGTTATGTATATAGAAATAAGAATACTTAAGGAAATACCGCAACAACAAAGAGTTGTGTTTCTATGTGTTTATGAAAGTTATTGCAAAATAAGGATAAGATAATGCTCCCAAACGTCAAAAAAGGATGAGATAATGCTCAATCCTATGATTTTAGGATAAAAATGGAATTTGTTTGTGATCAATCTTAAGAATTTTATAGTGGTAATTTAGTTTTTGAGATCATAACTTGATCCAAACTAACTTGTAATTAACGCTTTATTTTTTGTAATGTATTAGACCTGATACTACAATCATTCCACATTAGTAAATTATTTGTGGCAAGAATCTTCAAATTACAAATTGGCACAATTAGGCTTGTCAACAAATCGGATATGGACCGGATTTTGTCATATTCGACTCTGAATCCGATTACAATTTACCTGATCTGTTCTGATCCAATTATCCGAAGAATTTGAAATTTGTAATCCATATCTGAATCTATTATCTGGTCTGAAAATTCAATCTGATCCGTTTATGTACAAAGTAAAATCAACCTACAAATATCACACAAATTCAACTCCGTACAACAAAAAAAATTATAATGTTTATTCATTTGAAGCCTTAACAAGCAATATAAATTAAATATGTCAACCTCAATTTTAGTTATAAATAGTAAAGAAGAAGCCAGAAAGAAAAAAATGTAGGAGATGAAAAGATGTCGATGTATATAAACTCACGATATAGAAAATATAGAAAAAGAAGGTATATATACAATTCGAATCAAATTGTTAACGGATCAGATTTGATAAATTCATATCCGAATCCATTAAATATAACATAATGGATTCAAATTTGGATAATCGGTAAAAAAAATATTAATCCATATCCGACTAATCGAATTTAAATTCGGATCAAAATTCGATCCATTAACAGGTCTAAGCACAACAAAAGTATACGACATGGCCAAGTTGATATTGTATGTGATCAATCAGTGTTTGATTGAAAGAGGATGTTAATTAATGTTGGTTACATGTTCATAAACAAAAAAAATGGAATGAAATAAAAAAAATAAAACACACAAATTTGCGTAGTTTGACTCGACATAGAAGTTTACGTTCATAAGTGAAACATAGTGGCAATAATTCACTATCAAATTTACTCTATCACTTTTTCACCAAGATTGATTTGCTCAAAGGAAACCCAAAACAAATAAAGCAAACTCAACTTGCAAAACAGAACTCGTGTCGCGTCAGTAGCCATCCACTGAACACGTCCATAATATATCAAGCTTCATAATGCTTAATTGTGTTAACCTTGGCAAATCAAAGCATTCTCTAAAGTCCATTACGTGACGAACTCGATAACCTTCACCTAATTTGTGTGAATCAAGACAATAAAGAAGAGTCCAAATAAAAAAAAATAAAAAGAAAAGTCTTGCTCCCATAAAAGTGACATGTTGCCTCACGAAGTTTTCTAAATAAAATCCAATTAGACTTTAAACACTAGTGTCATAAGTAAATATATATCGGATAAATTCACACCATGAGCAACCATTTCGTATGAATATAGAAGGTGGGGAGTAAGTTCAGGGATGACTCAAGATAATTTAAGATCTGAAACGCTACCTTTAAATAAGACCTTCTATATTTAGTATTAATATTTTTTATTTAAAATTATTTTTTCTTATTTTTTGAGTTACGAAAATACTAATTAAGTTTTTATATTTAAGTTTTGTTATCATAATTGATAAAATCGTTAATCTAGTTAATTTTTTTTGTGACATAATCAATTTTAAGTTTAAAAAATTCTTTTCCGTAGAAACAACTGTTGCAATAATTATTAATAATATTTTATAAACATTGCATGCATCGAAGAGAGAGAGAGCAAAAGTTGGTTGCCTTTTGGCTTATGGTTTTGGTTGAGAGAGAAAGAGAGAGAATGAGTGGTTGAAAATGAATGGCTAAAGTAATGGTTTGATATTTTTTAATTTTTTTTATTTTGATGGGACTTTTGAGTTCAATTCTTTTTTACCATTATTTTTTAAAATTTTTTGGATATTTAGTATTTAGATTGGACTATGGGCTTAAATGATTGAACATAATTTTTTTTGATTAGGCTTATATTTTTATAAGACGTCTTTATATGACTTATATAATTGTGTTATTGTAACGTTGATATAAGAAGAGAGAGAGAGAAAAATAATAAGGAGAGAAAGAGTAACGACGAGAGAAAATTGGGGAAAAAGATGAAACAATTAAATCAAATATTCACATATTAGAAAAATAAAATAAATTATCAATGAGAGAGGGGCATAGATAGAGAAAAAAAAGGGAAATGAGAGTGAAAGAATAATAGTTAGAGAGAGGGAGAGTAATTGAGTAATAAATGATCTTTTAGTCTTTTTTCAAAGAAATGCAGTTGGAGTTATAAGTTTTCTTAATGTAGTTTAGTTCAATTAAGTCCAAATTTTTGTATCGGCTTCCAAATTTCCCAAATTTTTTTATCAAATGCTACTAGACTTTAATTTTTGGACTTACTTTGAAAACTTACTGTAATGCATTTTGATCATTGAATTAGTAATAAGAGCTAATATTGAACCCACTAACAACTGAATAACCACAATTTATTAGGCGTCAATATTAGGTTCCCAAGCTAAATACAAGTAGTACTATTATTAAATTTTTAAAATTTCTTACAAAAACATTTAGGCCCCAAAGTTTGACATGATTGTTTTGGAAAAATTTCAACCACACTCCTTCTAATTTACTATATCTTTAAGGACATCCCTTCTATTTTTTGAATCTTCACTGACACCCCTGACAGATTAAAAATATTAACTAGAATGCAATTTTACTAAATTGCCCATGATATATTTGAAGACAAATTTTATCCACACCCCCTCTAGATAAAAATATCTTCAACGAGACCCTCTCTGTTTTCTAATTTTTTTTTATGTATTAAAATATGGGTCAATTAAAATTCGATTCAACCTAATTAAAATTTGATTTAAACTAATTAAAATTTATTTTTTTACATATTAAAATTTGAGCATATTAAAAATTATATTTTTTACGTATTAAAATTTGGGCTAATTAAAATTCTATTTGAGCCAATTAAAAATTATTTTTAATCGAGTTAAATCAAATTTTAATCAACTCACATTAAATTTTAATCAGCATAAATTTTAATACATAAAAAAATATAAATTTTAATTGGCTCAAATTTTAATAAATCGAATTTTAATTGACAAGAATTTTAATAAGTAAAAAATTTTAATTTTAATTTTAATCGACACAAAAGCAAAATTTAATCGGCGCTAACAACTCGAATAGAATTTAAATCGGCTCAAATTTCAATATGTAAAAAATAGAGTTTAAATCGGCTCGATTTTTAATACTTAAAAAAAATAAAATTCAATCAACTTCAATCAAATTTTAATTGGTTCAAATTTTAATATGTAGAAAATTAAACTTTAATCGACTAGAATTTTAATAAAATTTTATGTAGAATAATTACTTGAGGTTTATGTAGGGGCATTTTTGGTATTTTAGATAAAAAAATTTTATTAGAAATGATAGTTTAATGGTAAGGGGTGTTAGTGATGTTTAAATATAAACTAGAAGGAGTGTCAGTGTTGTTTTTGATAACAGAGGGGGTGTCCTTAAAGATATAGTAAACTAAGAGGGGTGTGACTGAAATTTTTCTTATTTTTTTTTTATCTTACCAAATGTTTATAGTATACAGAAACACTTCATATCATATTTCTATATCTTATAATCAAAATCAATTGTCTAACTTATTGTCTATCAACCAATAATTGTTAAATTAAATTTGAATTCACTTCTAATTTAGGATAGATTTTTGCTCACTTATTTATTAAAGCGTACAAAAAAAAGCATTGAACATAGTGAGTAGAAGTATCTCACTATTTGTAACTAACAGTAATCGTAGTTGTCTTGCTAATTTTTTTTTAATAAAATATCGCTTTGCTTTTCCGTAATATTAAAGCATGCTTCATATATTACAAGACCAATAAACTCATACAAATTTTGTGTTTTATATTTATTCTATTTTTTTTTTGGTTATATTCCCTCCAGTTTGACAAAACAATTCGGTTCACGATTTTTGTCAAAAATTGGCCGATTTGATTGTTCAGTTCCGATTTAAATGCTTAAGTAATCCAATTCAAGAGTCAGACTTGTTGAGGTACCGGATCATCGTTCAACCGATCGAACTGGTTGGACAAGTCCAATTGTAATAACATTTCATGGTAGGAACTAACTTTGATTATCATTGTATGTATACCGCACATGTGGCAAGATTTAAAACTTCGTCCTCTGAGTTGGGAGGTGAGGGCTTAGCCATCCAAGCTAACCCATGATGCTCAGATCATATGCCCACTTATGAATAGGGTTTGGATATATAATAATGTGTAGACTTCAAGTTTAAGGCAATGAATGTAATGTCCCAAAACCCATCACTAAATGTAATTAATAGATGGTTAAAGTTTTCATTTCTTCTATTTAATTTATTTTTTTGGGTATTGTGCATCATTGCACCATCAAGAAGAAAATGCTTCTGTTTTTTTGTGATGTGATCAAGTAGATAGGTTTGCTGCACCCATTTTAATCATCAATGAAGGGTTTGAGTTTTTTTTTCCCTAACACGGTGATGCCTATGAATGAATCATAATAATCCAACATAAATCTAAATGTGCATATCCATTAGAGATAGCAGGGGTACTACTTGTCTCGAAAGCCATGTTATTGTGGACTTGTCCGTTGAAATTCCTACTAAATTAACATTTTAAAGATCAAATAAGATTTGAGTTTTCTTCTTAAAACGTGATGACAAACAAAACTAAAGCTGAACAATAAAAGAATAAAAGTCACCTTGGCTATTCTTTCACGAGAGCGTACTAATTTTCCAATTCTAGAAGCAAGGCCAAAATTCGGCACCTTTCGGGTGAATTAATCTGAGTCCAACTCAGCACACAAACAGATTGGTGTTTATTTCGAAATCATGGATAAATAGGCCCCATTAGACTGACGTGGTCCTATATTCGACACTCTTTTTATTACTTTGAGACAGGACACTTGTTTGCATTCGAATAATATTATTTAAATTTAAAATTTTGATATTATTTATTGATCTAATTATGTAATTTTATTAAAATTTTTGGATAAAGAACAAGTTTTAATATTTGATAAGTCTTACGATCAATGCAAAGATCATAAATCAAGTCAGCAAATAAGACCAAATTTTTAAATTCAAATAACATTAATCTTTACTTCGTGTCGTAACTCCATTGCTATTGATTGGGCAAAACAAGAACCTCAAAAAAAAATTTAAACCATTGTTTGGCAATATTAAGCTAGCCAACCATTCATATTTAATATGTCATTAGAGTATTTCTAATAGTACTTTTTAGTTTGGAGAGAATTTTTTTGAAATAGAAAGTTTCTTTGTTAAAATTTTGAAATAGAAAAGAAATTATTTTTGACACCTTCAATGCACTTTTTATTTTATCATGAGAATAGTCTTTTATTTAATAAAAAATGTGTAGATGTAAAATCATCATTCATTAGTGCAATGCTTGACTCACTGGTCCCAATTGAACTCCCTGGTCCCAACTGAAGTAGATATAATAATAATTCCGAGTTGGTTGAGTGAAAGACTTCCAAATTGAATATAAAGTCGCAAGCCGGCCATTCATATTTTCATCTCACTCCCTCGCTCTCTCCACTTATCCAACCTCTCAAAGTTCGTGTTTGTATTTCCTTAGAAGACTCAAAGCATCTAAGTTCAGGAGTTTCCTTTCTAACACTCAGAATCTCTGTTCTGGTTTGAAGTCTCTCTCTCTCTCTCTCTCAATTCTCAAAGCATCTAAGTTCAGGAGTTCCCTCTAACACTCAGAATCTCTGTCCAGCTGTGAAGCCTCTCTCTCTTTCTCAAACTGTCCAGGTGTGAAGTTTCTCTCCCTCAAAGCATCTAAGTTCAGGAGGTCTCCCAAGAAATGGAGCCCGAATTTGTGTGCTTTCAAAAACAGCTCTCAAATACGGATGTCAGTCGCAACCTGGAAATACCCAACAGGGCACCTTTTTTGCCGGCCGGACATGGGGTCATGCTTGTAACTGACCGAGAAGGAAACATATATGACTTCGTAGCATCAGTAAGGGCGGATGGGAGGCGTTCGCTGAAGCGTGACTGGTGTTTTTTTGCAGAGAAAAAGCATCTTCGAGCCGGAGAGTTCATAAGGATTTATTGGTCAGGGAATGGGAATCAATATCGTGTGCAGGCTGGCCTGGAACTCCATGGATACATAGTCTGGGAAACACTATAAGTTCCACAGTATAAAATTTTGTGGTAGGGGGAAACGTTGTTTAGACTTCAAATGTTGACATGCATTTTCTAAACTACGGTTTTTGGAAAAACTTGAAATAGTTCAAGTCTAAGGGTCATTGTCAGAATGATGAATGATTAATTCCATATTGATTTCATGTCGACTTTACAAATATCGAGTATAATTGTTTAACCAACATGCCACCTTACCTAGCTAAAATGGGCTTTAAAATCTGTTATGTTCTTCAAGATTTCATTACCTGAAGGAGCATTATATATTACTTGTTAAGTGATTCCTGCAATTATTAAAAACAAAAAAAAATTACCACCCCCAAAATATATTTCACTCTCATAAATGCTCTCCAAATACTATATATATATATATATATATATATATATATATATATATATATATATATATATATATATATATATATATATATATATATATCTCTGTGTGTGTGTGTGTGTGTGTGCGTGGATGTCCATGACTTAAACCTATGGCAGATCATTTTCAGATAACGGCATCCAAATTTGGATCTTCTGATGATATCCTACCCTGCCCCCATGGTAGGGTATTTGTTGAAGGGTTCCACATCCCAATTTTGGATCTAAATATTTTTCAAAAAAATAATTTTTTGGTACCGAATTTTTTATCATTCACTAATCAAATTAAATTATACGTACAAAACCTCTATATTTTATTATTTTGGTAGGTTTTATTATTTTTATAATTTATAATTCTAAATAAATCAAAAATATCAGTTATGATACCAAAGTAGTAAACTCTCTTTATAGTGTTTCTCATATTGGATCATACCTCTATTTTTCACATTTATAATAATTTTTATTTATGAATATTTTTATCACTGTTGTAGTACCCAAAAAAATAATAAAAATAATTACTACAGCAGTGGTCAAAACACCCACAAATGTGATAAATTATCCACACAAATGATAATTTTTTTTGTACTTAAAAAATATGATAAAAATAATTATCACAAAAGTGGTAAAAAATACTCACCACAGTAGTAAAAATATCCACAAAAGTGATAAATCAACCATAAAAATAATAAATTTTTTAATTATAAAATGACCTACAAAAATTATAAAAATACCCTTTAAAGTAATAAATTTTTTAGTATGATATCAATTTTTTTTACCCATACCGTAATCAAGTCCCTCATGTTCAAAGAAAAAAACCTTAATAATAGTAGGTTAGGTGCATTTCCTTTTCTTTCTACATCTTAGTTGACAAAGAAAACCGTTTTTGGTCCGTCCACCCATTTGTGGATAGAACTTGTGCACCAAGAAAACTTGTTATATTGTAGGAATAATCTCCAAAATAAAATGTCAGTAATATGCAGTCTCACTATTATCAATAATGATGTATAAGATAAATTATGATGTCAAAAATTAATTTTAAAATATCATATGAAAAAATAATTCTCACTTGTATAAAGTATTTATATTTATAAACAATAAATAGAGCAGACGATTAAATTTTCTATGTGTCATAATATGCTTTATAAAACAAACAACTATACTATAAAAAAATATACAATTTCAATTCCATAATCTAATATTTTTTATTATCAAAAAGTGGGATATGACTAATAAAATAGATTTTGGCTTAAACAATTTTTAATCATTTATTAAAAAAACTAATAAAATATGGGTCCATTAGATTTTTGATGTCTCATACAGACGTGGTAAAGGACCCACTAATTTCCCTTTCAATATTTTAATTACATTATTTTGGTCGTTAATATATTAAATATATTTCTATATGCTCATTCGAGTAGCCAACATTCAAATTGCTAACAATTTTTAATCATAAACTTATCACTTAATACTTAAATATGAAAAAAAATAATTTTAATAGTTTTTAACCAAAATTTGAGTAGATTTTGATAAAAAAAATGTGTAATATGGATAATTTTTATCTAAAATTTAAATAGCTCATAATCAAAATTGTTTAATTTTGGTAGCTCTTTGGCCAAAGTTTAGATAAAAATTTGATCAAGAGTTATTACAATTATTTTTTTGTTTATATTTAAGTACTATGTAACAATTTTATAATGAAAAAATGTTAGCAATTTCGATGTTGTTTGTTTGAGGGATCACATAAAAATATATTTAATATTTCAGGGACTAAAATAATGCAATTAAAATATTAGAAATAAAAATGAGACAAAACTAATACTTTGAAGACCTTCAATAGAGTTAACTCTTTTCATCTCTATAATAGAATTGAAAAAAGTATAAATTTTTTATTTTATCATCTCATGAATTTAGTGATTCGAAAAAAATCAAATTAAAATTTAGGAGGCCCAGTCAACTTCGATTTTTAGTGTACAATAGACATATTGGGCTTATCATTCCCCTCGAAAGTAAGGCAGTATGCCTTTGCTTTGAATTCACATTAACTTATATAAACGTTTTTTTTTTTTTTTGTATTGTATTTTTGGTTTTTAATCAATAAAAATATGTCATATTTTTATTTTTATAATTAATAATTATAAATTTAATTTAAAATTAATAATCAAGATTAATGGAGGTATGGTGCAAAAGTCAATAATTGCCTTAACCAAAAATATGAGGTCATCCATCCAAGAAAGTCACTACTGTTAACATTGCTGCAATTGTTCATATAACTGTTAGGCATTTTGGTTTGGTGTAACTCTTCTCTATCACCGGAATCCTCTTCTCCGGTCATTGAAATTCGCCTTCAAGGTTTCAATCCTGAATTTTAATGGTTAGTTTTCATTTTTTTTTTTTTTTTTGCAATTTCTGTTCGAAAAGAATCCAAACTAAAATTAAAAAACACTTACAATTCTTAAAATGAAAATAACAAAGTTGAATTCCCCTCAAGGTATTTGATTTGTATATTTGTTTCAGGTAACTGTTCGGTGTTACAATTGGCATTTTAATTGCCTAACAGTACGAGTTTCTTTGTTTTTTTAGTTCAATTTTTTTGTTTGATGAAATCCAAACCAATGTTTTGTGAAATGAAAATAATAAAATCTGAAAATTCGATTCTTAAACAATTACATAGATATAATTGTTTATTTGTAGGTGGTTAGCTGTTTGGTAAAACTCTTTTGGTACATATTTACTGCAACTCTTTGTTAACTTTATTTGTGTAACTGTTTGTTTGTAAAAGATTAATTGTTTGATGTAACTCTTTGGTAATTTTATGTATAATTAAAGAAAGGGTAAATAAGTAAAATAAATAAAAGGTCATTTGAATTTTGTACCTAATCATAATATATTTTATTAAAATTGAACTTAATAAGACAAATACCTTATTCATACGCTCCCTCTCAAATAAATCTAAAAAATATATACCTATACCCAAAAAAACTCTATTCTTTATTAGCAGCCTCATAAAGCAAATCAAGCCAGTACTGAAAGGGTATATGTAGCTAGTGGCCCATTTCACCCAATCCTGAAACTTGGTGGGCTGTCTAGATCTTGGGTTGACCCCAATGCGGGTCCCCAAGAAAAATTAATAAATAGTGAAAATTGAGTGTGAGTTGTTCTAGATGAACTTATAATGATTTGAGTTCTGGAAGAAAACTTATTTGAGAATAAGTCCATGTTTAAACTTATATGTAGGTACTTAAGTCCACTGATTTTTTAAATTTGAAAATTATCCCTAATGGTATTAATTTTGTCCAGTTATGAAAAGTCATATAGATTATATTATTGAAGTATATATAGAAACTTTTGATTGAGTTATATATAGAAACCGTTTATTAAATATTATGATAATTATTGAAAGTTTTATATGTAAGTTATATATTCTGATAGTTATATATAAGAAGCTTAATGTATGAATAAATTATTGGTCTATTAAGTCAAAATTAGATCACAAAATTTCCTTAACAATAGTAATGCATAATACAGAGAGGCTGAACAATGTCAATAGAGTTTAATAACACGAATATTAATATATTGTAACATGAATTTTATTATATGATTGAAATTAAAATTAGGGTCGTGTTACTATATTGACATTAATGTTACTATAGTGAATTTTAACCTATAATTACAAACTTTGAAATGTATATTATGTAACATACACTTTGATATTTACAGTAACATTAAAGATTTGTACTCAGTAACACATCTAATTTTATAAAATACAAGACAATAATTTTATTTACAGTAACATCAATTTTTGAATGATTTGAGTGAAACTATGATTTACAAATTGAAAATTTACAAAATGATGAGTAGTAACATACAATCGACGATTGAATCACAACACTTAACATCAATTGTGAACATCAAAACATCAAAATTTTGAACTCTACTTTTTGATTCACGTACGGTAATATGAACTTTTTTCATAGTGATACAATCAAGGAATACTCGATTGTCTTGCGCAACAAAAAAATCAACAAAATCGAAATGTTTAACACTTTAATTTAGTACTAATGTATGAGTTTAATTGAATCTTGGTTACAAGGTTAATGTCCATTTTGACAGAATTAAATTCCTAATTGTTATTATTTTTTTGTGAGCATCTTACTATTTTTTTAGTGACCATATTACTGTCTTTGTTGAGTTTGTCACTATTGTTATTTTTTAAATATTAATATTCAATATTAATATTTTATCGATAGGGTCCAAAGTAAACTGAAATTGTATTTTATGGAATATAATGAGTTTGAAATTTGAATATGAACGATTTTTGGTAAATGCCGATTTCTTGTTTTTCAGGTAAGGAAACATAGTGGCTTGGAAGATTGTAGCCGGATTTGAAGGCAATTATGAAGGAGATGTATATGATTGGTTATTGTTTCCATAAAAATCGTTTATAACATTCCCATAAAGAAGTGTTACAATAGTAAAATTGACAAAAAACAAACTTAAAACTAAATATATTTTTTTGACGGACTTATCTTCAAATAAGTTCACATAGAGGGGACCAGCCTCTAAATTTCCCTAATAAATAAACACACAGAAGCAAAAATGAAAAAAATAAGAGAA